CCAATAGATGTAAAAATAAGGCAAGTATGCATGTAAGTAGTCCTGAGATATTTTTGTCACATGCATTATGCTATCTAAACATATTCACTAGCACTCTTCATAACTATTTGTTGGAGATCTCGCATCGATTATAGTTATTGTTAAATTATAATATATAGGTGAGGACAACCCTTGTTCTAGAAACAAATGTTTGTAGGGTTGTAAGTGTGTCTAAACTCACATTTAAGGCTATTAATCTTAATAATTTAATTTGCAGTGCACTTTCAGAAGTGCCAATGTCAAAAGCAATTGCTGGGGTTCGTGTTGGTCTTGTTGGTGATAAGTATATAGTAAATCCTACTACCAAGGAGATGGAACACTCTGAATTGGACCTCTTGCTAGCTGGCACAGATAGTGCAATACTGATGATAGAGGTATAGCATTGTCCTTCTTGTGAACAATAACATTATAGGTATACCTGTATACTGATAGAACATGTTTCAAAATTATTTGTAACTTGCTTGCAATAAGTATAGCTCTCCTAATATTTTGGAAATAGAAAATAGAAGATTCTGTGAAGGTCATAGATATTATCTTACACTTCATACAATACAACTATTTGTTCTGTATATCTTTTTCTTTAGCTTTTTTTCCTAGTTATTATGATAAACTCTGATATCACCCAGACTCAAAGGATGAGCCTAGAGGCATATGATATGGTAAATAGCTTGCCGTGTTTTGATGCCAGAGTACATATACGAGAATGCCAATTATCCTCATTCCTTCACTTGAATAAATAATATGGAGAAAACAGTGTGTTCAACCTACACTGTTGTACCTTTTATTGATGTGTGTGTGTGTATATAGGTTACAAAAAGAGGCTAGACACTTACCTTAAACCCTAACCATAAAGCTGGATACACTGCTTGCTGATTTGTGATATTAATACTATACTTAGCCTGCAAATTCGTTGGAAGTGATTTGGAGTTCCAAATTTGTCTCCTTTCCACAGTCTCTTTCTGTTAGGTTCCTGGGTATGGAACCTAACTCAGACAATCACTCACACACACAATCAAGAACTCAACAATAAAAAGAATGATTTTTTTATTGATATGAAAACAATGTACACAGATAGCACTAACGGAGGCCTAATCCCCCTTAGAAGGTCCAAGACATGTTTATACAAAAGAATATCACTAACTAACTTTCTACAAGACCCCCCTAGCCTTCTTATAGAGGCAACCCCTTCTAACTACTCAACATACTGTTCGATTCTTCATCTCCCATTCCCTTAACCGTTTGGTCCACGTCCCCCTGCCTTATATCCTATCATTACACCCTGCTGCAAAACAACCTTGTTCTCAAGGTTGGAACAATGAAGCTTGAGCCCATAGCATTGTGATATGGTCTTAGCATAGGAAGGGAACCCGCTGGCTACTACTTGCAACTTCAGGTCTGGAGGCCTGGGTGGTGGCAAATCCTCCTCCCATGTCTTCCATTCTTCCTGGATTCTGTTAAGGGTTAAATATGTTTTTAGTCCCTAAACTATCAAGCAAATTTGTTTTTAGCCCTCCTCCTTAAGGAAACCTTAATTTTTGGTCCTCCAAAACTAACACCGTTAAAACCCAGCTAATGTGACTAATGTCTGGCCACATGTGCTCACAACTTTCCTTCCTAACTCTTGGCACGTGTGATTGCATGTTTGATGAAGAAGGTAATTATTTAGTTTTGGTTTATCTAATAAACCAATCAAACTTGAAGCAAACTTTGAAGATTATGGGAGCAGATTGACGACGCTTGGCGATTTGGCCGACGAGTCTATCGCCCTTCTTGGTTAAGCGACCATGGAAGGGGTGTTTCATTAGCCCTCGGCTTTGACGATGATGGTGGGCTTCCTAGTAGATTGCTTCACAATTTAAATTAGCGATTCTAGTTTGCTTATGGGAGCAAATTGATGGCAGCGTGAACTAGTTTCACCTGGCGCCGCGGTCGCTGTTCTGGTTTTTGTTTCGCAGGGTTTGAGACGCGATGATGGAGGCAAAGGAGACAAACTCACAGTGCTCCAGTGACAGCGGCGCTTGGTGGCGCGACGAATGTTGATGGACGTACCTGATTTGGGGGTTCTCTCTGCTTCACAGGCACGCTGGATCTAAACCGCAAGAGACGCAATTTTGTAGAGGTGCTTGGGCGGTGTCAATGGCTGCCATGGGGTTTGCTGTTTTCTGATTGCAGGTTGTGCGATAATGAAAGAGGACAATCCTAGCGGCGATGGGGGAGCAGTGGCGCTGTGGCGATTTCGGTTGTGAGCAACGACGCTGATGGAAATCCTCGCCGGTGATGGCGGTGGTGGAAATCCAGCCGCAAGAACGACGCGTTGCAGGATGAAGGAGGTACTTTGTACCAATCAACTTTTCGAAGAAGAAAGGGTCACACTTTGAAGCCAATCAACCTAATAAACCAATATTCTCACTTTGCATTAAAAAATACCAGCGTGCCAAGAGTTAGGAAGGAAAGCTGTGAACACACGTGGCCAGATGTTAGCCAGATAAGCTGGTTTTGAACGCTGTTAGTTTTGGAGGATCAAAAATTAAGGTTTCCTTAAGGAGGAGGACTAAAATGTTCCTTACTTTGAAAGAGGGACTAAAAACAAATTCGATTGATAGTTTGGGGACTAAAAACATATTTAACCCTTCTATTAATGTCCAACATTCAGGTCACCACCTTTTTAGAATCATAAGCCTTGAGAAAACGGTCTTCAATATCTTTCAGTGCTTCTAGCAGCTCTCTTCCCTCTACAGGTGTAACACGAACTGCAAGCCCCTTTTGCTCCCCTTGGTTCTCAGTGGCCACATCCACCACCTTTACTGTTTCAATACCACTGATCGCTTGCTTCGCAACACCTTCACTGTTACTTTTATTATTATTATTATTATTATTCTCTTCAATACTCACCATGTTGTGCTCACCCTCTTCTCTTTTCACCCACGGAAAGAATGGTTTTTCCTCATGCTCTTCTTCATGGTTGTCCCCGTGCCTTTGTTCAAGTTTGGGCTTTTGAATGTGGTGCCTGAACTTACTTTGTTGTCCTTTTTCTTTGGACCCAATTTCCACGGGGGCGTCAAGCGCATCGTTCCCTGCTTCGGTATCGGTATCGGTCTCGGGATCAGTCATGCCCCGCTCCTCACGTGCCCTCACAATGAGTTTGACGGCCTCAATCAATACGTCATCGAAATTTGGCGGCAACTTGCCTCTAGCGATGGCGCTTCCCTTGAAGCGATCGTAGTCAAAGAGCAACGCATGCCACTTGCAGCGGCACTGAGCGAGATTGCGCTGCACGTCCAAGGCCACGCAGTTCTGGGCGATGATGTTCCACTGCTGGTAGGAGGAGAGCGCGACAGAGCAGTTGGCTTCCACCGCTATGACTTTGTTCACCAGAATGAGCGACTCGATGGTGCTCCAATCTAGAGCCGCTTGGGAGCGCATGCAACGAAACGCGCTAGTCGTACCTGAAACGTCGATGATGTCATCTTCGTAAATCTTCATTTTCATTGCTTTTTGCCCTCCAAATCGCACCACCTTAGCTTCTTTCAGTCCTTTCCAAGAACGATTCTTGGTTTTAGCCTTCCAGGCTCGGGTCCAATACCCAACACTTCCCTCTATGCTAATGTATGCCAGGCGCACTTTTTCTTCTTCTATCACCCCTTGAGTCTCAAAAATTTTCTCCGCCCTAGCAATCCACTCCATAGGATCAAACCGTTCGAAAGTGGGTAGTTCTACCTTCATCCAGTTCCTCCTCCAAGATCTCTCTTCCCCTTCTCTGATTCTCGTTAACAAAAGGTTGATCTTCCTCTGAACCATCTTTCTTTCCTTTCATGGCAGATTCATCACTTCTTGCTAAGCCCTTTATCTGAATCTTGATATTCTGCATCATTTCTTTTATTTCTTGGGTAGTTCTTCTCCATTCTGCTAGCACTCTTTTTTGTTCACTGGCCCACCTCTCCACAATATTGATTCTTCCTTCCAAAGTATTGATTCTTCCTTCCATCATGTTCTCCTCTCCAACGTATCTGTAAGGTCGGACCAATTGTTAGGTTCCTGGGTATGGAACCTAACTCAGACAATCACTCACAGACACACAATCAAGAACTCAACAGTAAAAAGAATGATTTCTGTATTGATATGAAAACAATGTACACAGATAGCACTAACGGAGGCCTAATCCCCCTCACAAGGTCCAAGACCTGTCTATACAAAAGAATATCACTAACTAACTTTCTACGAGACCCCCTAGCCTTCTTATAGAGGCAACCCCTTCTAACTACCCAACATTTTGTTCGGTTCTTCAACCCCCATTCCCTTAACCGTTCGGTTTGTGTCCCCCTGCCTTATATCCTATAACTTTCAGTTTCAACTTGACACATAAATACATTATCACAGATAAAGATCAACTGTGAATTGCAAAATGAAGAGGTTTCCAGGAAGGCCAGCTGAGTTAGCCTTTTTGATATTTACTTTGAAGCAAATTTAATTCTGAAAACAGATGTTAGATGAACTTCTATGTGGTTAAGATCAAGTAATCGAAATCTGTAATTAACATATTTGTAATCCTTATCCAAATCAAGTACTTGCAATCTCAACAATTTGTTTTACTTCACCTGCAGCTTTCTGCAGAAAACAGATTCAAAGTTTTTCCTGCTCTTCTAATTTGTCAGTATTTTGAAAATCCAAGACCTTTCACCATGTTAGATATTAAGATGTGTGTTTTTGTTATTTGGGCTTAGTCTATTCTGTATTAGGGCATTGGCCCATATCTTACAATATAAATAAACTACCCTATGTGTATGCTAAACACACAAGGGATATTTTCTCCCAATCTTCTCTATTTCTCATACACCATTTCAGCTGTCTTAGAGTCAAATTGCAGGAATATGCATTGGTTGGTATATAATAAAAATGATGAATTGATATCTTTTCAGAATCGAAAATATATTGAATGTGAATCATGATTCTGGAAACTCTTATGGTTGTACTTTTACGCTGGCTCAACTGGTATATACTTTCATTGCAGGGATATAGCAATTTTATTCCAGAAGAAAAGTTACTCAGGGCTGTCGAAGTTGGTCAGGTTTAACTTATAGTAGTGCTATTAGACAAGCTTATGAAACCCTTTGTTTCTTAAATTATTATTTGCACAGCATCATGCAAAACATTTATTTGTGGCTGTTGGATATACAGCATGAAAGTAAGGAATCACCACAGGATTTTGATCTTTAAAATTTTCTTCGTTGTCAACTTCTTACAAGTTTAATAATTTGAAAATATTTGTAAACAACCTCTTTTCTTTCTACATCTATCTGTGTTAAAACTTCAATTCATTTTTCAGTGACTATTATTGCTTTGTGCATATTAATATTTCACTATAAAAGCTTATATAGTACTAGAGTAAGCTACTTGCCTCCATTACAGGTTTTTAGTTATAGTGCATTTGTAATATTTACTGTGTAGACATTCATATCTTTGTGTGGTCTGTTTTCTTTGATAGTTTATCAACATTCCTGCTTAAGGTTGATTGTATTATATTTTTCCTGTTCTTCACTGTTAGGATGCAGTCCGAGCAATCTGTAATGAAGTAGAAGTTTTGGTTAAGAAGTGTGGGAAGCCAAAGATGTTGGATGCCATCAAGCTACCTCCTCCTGAACTTTATGAACATGTTGAAGTATACTCCTTGCTATCCTTTATCATTTTCTGCTATTCGTTTAGTCCAAAAGTTTATAATTATTCATGATTTGCGAATGTCTATCTAGGGAAATGTCTATCATTTCGTTGTTTGTTTGGACAATAGTAGTTCACAATATTAATGCTATTGACTTTATGTGGGTGGGAACAGTGGCCAACAATAGGACAAATCACAAAAATTAGCTAGTTAATAATAGAAGCTGAAAAAGAATACTGAAATCACAAACTGCAATATCTGAGCCAAATTTGTGGGTTCTAAGAAGTAGAATGAGTCTGCTGGAAATATAGAGTTTAGGTAGGGTAGGAGTCATACTAGAAAGAGAGAAAGCTGTGGATATTAGTAGAAGAATATTAATTTGGTGTTATATAATGCAAAAACACTAAGACCTATCTTATGTACGCTAATAATAATTATGTCTATTGTTAATGGAGCAAGGTCATCAGATGCATTAAACGCCCATAAGAGGCTGATGACATTTATGCCTATAGGGGACAGGGAACCAAAAGGCACTCCCACCATTGATGAAAAGTGATAATAATAATAATAATAATAATAATAAAAAAAATAATAATAATAATGTCTTTTAATCCTTATTTCACCTTGTTTTCCACTCTTACAACTCTGCATTCTGGTTCCTTTTTTCTGTGATTTTTTAAAATGTGTTGGGCTAGTGCCACTACTGATTGCGCCAGTGGGCTCAAAGATAACATGCTTGAATCAGAGTTATCAATTGTGTGCAGTGGAGGCACTATATAGTGCTGTCAAGTAGTGGCAGGTGGCTGCAACAGGTGCTGAATTGCATAGTGTTTATGGGATGTGGTCACTGCCTCAATCACGGCCACTATAGTGGCAAAAAACGTTGCTGTTATGTCCACTTTGATGAACAGGGATTAAAAACCCTAAGTTTCCCTAGTTTATTTTCTTGGGAGAGTCTCAAGATATAGCTATTGGTGTTGTTGTGGTCAGCTGCTCTGCCCTGAAATAAGTTGGGTCCTCGAATTTGACCTTATTCCATAGACAATTCCTCCACTTGTGTAAATTGTGTCATACTGAAAATTTGCCATTGAAACTTCTGAGATTCTGGGAGGATTTCAAAAGCATGTAGTACCATTAATATACTTCTCTGGACTCAGGCCATATTTTTCACTTTCACAATGTCATTGAGATCACTCAATTATGTGCTGCATTTCACTTCAGACTTCACCCTCCTGCTCCACACTGTTCTTTTAAAATCTCTAGCATGTTTTGTTACTTTTATCTGGTGTGAAGTTTACTTCTGTTTTCTTAGACATTTATGATATGGTTTTGCACATTTGTTGCTATTGTTAGTTTCTTGCATGTCCTTGTTTGAGAGGACTATGGTTTTACTTAATATTTGTTAGACAAGATATAATTGAAGACTTCAATGAATAGTTTTTTTAAATAGTGGTTGGATAGAAACTGAAGTGTGAGGAAATGTGCAGGAAATTGCAGGTGATGAGATAGTAAAAGTTCTTCAAATTAGAAACAAAATACCCAGAAGAAAAGCCCTTTCATCATTAGAAGAAAAGGTTCTGAATATACTCACAGAAAATGGGTTTGTCTCAAATGACTCAAAACTGAGGAGTAGTTCTGAGACGATTGCAGAGGTTCTTGAGGATGAGGATGAAGATGAGGAAGTAATTGTTGATGGTGAAGTTGACGAAGGTGATGTTCATATAAAGCCTACTTCACACAAACCGGCACTTTTAGTAAGTACTATGCACATTTCTAATTTATTTTATCTATTTTTTTGACATGTATTATTAAGTGATGTATATTTGGTTAACTTAGGCTCCGTGCTCAGTTCATAGTTATTTTTTAAGGCCATTTCTAAGATTTACATTCAAGCAGACTGGATTGCTCAAATAAGTTGATTATTCTTGTTCTCTTTTTTAAGTTTTGTAGTTTCTCTGTGGCTTGAGGAGACTTGTTCGTACTTCTCTCATTGTTTCTTAGTGAATTCTTTTGCTAAACCTGTATTGGCAAATATTTTTGTTGTTTCTCTTCTGCTTGTGTGCATGAAGCCTCTCATCATCTGTTGACTAAAGGATTCCTAAAATTTGAGTCAAGATATTTTATGATTTAGATTTTTTCCTATTGGTTTTAATTTTATATATTTGTTGTATCTTGGTTTTATTACTTGCATAACAATCCCACAATCTTAGCGATTTATTTCCTAGATTAGGTTGTGCTTGTTTCCAAAATTATCCAATCAATTTATGTATATATATGAAATGTATGCAATATGAAATAATAAGAAATAAATTATTTTCTTCTAAAGTTGAGATTCTGAAAGGAAGATTGCCAATTGGTTCTTTAGGGATTCAGAATATGTTGTGACTTGATTTATGAAAAAAATTAGAAGGCTACAGTTACAAAAGGTTGTCTTGAAACATAATTCTGTATTGATTTCCCCTCTCTGCTTGTGATTGTTTTAGGTGAAATACCATTGTCAATGAGGAAATATGGGCCAGCTTTGCTACATTGTTTACCTCTTGGGCTTTGTTTTCCATAAATTTATCTGTTTGTGATGATACCCTACTGCGTTGTAATATTTTCTCTGCTCTCTCTTTAATAATGTCTTTATTTACACCTTCACCCAAGAACTGGGACAAAAAGAGGATATTATTCATGTTATATCTTCCTTGTTTTGTGTATGCAGTATCCTACTCTGTGTCAATCTTTCTGGCTATTGACATTGTTCTTTATAATTTATTTTTGTGTATTTTAATTGTTTAATGTTTATACTTTGTTCCTTGATTCATGTAGAGATCATGCCTTTCCCTGTTGTATCCATGTTTTTCTGAATCCATTTGGTTTTACTATTTAACATATGTGTATTTCTTTTTCGGCTACAGTTTTCTGAGGTAGATGTCAAGTTGGTATTTAAGGAAGTGACATCCAAATTTTGGAGGAAGCGCATAGTAGAGGTATGAATACTTATAGTGAAATAATTAAGATTACTATGGAACATAATATTTTGTATGGTTTTTGCTGTCTTTGGGAGAGTTCTGTCAAATTGGCTGGGTGAAAGCAATACCAATAATGCAAGATTTTGACAAAATAGAATGGGTGAAAGATGGTTCTTGGTTGTTGGACTTTAAACCTTAAATATTCTTGATAGTCATTGGTATATCGTGGTTCAACTTTATTAGATTGAAAGAAACTTGTTGTCTTGTTAGGAAAACCATGTAAAGAGAACAGTTCTTTCGAGTGTGACCTTTTCTCCTACAAAAGGAGCATCGAGGAATCCATTTTTAGTAAAAGGAGGCATATTGAAAGAGGAATCTATCAACAATTAGAATTACAACAACTTAAAGGGTCTAGATCACAACACCCAAATCAGCAGGCCAACACGCCCAATATAGCAACAACACTAAGTAGAAAACCAATAACTATTTGCAACCAGCAACTTGTATCTCTATCATAATACAATGATTACCACTAGTTAGAAACAACAATACTCTTCATACCATAGTGGGTGCCAACTGTAAAAGACATAAAATAATATTGGAAGAAGAGTCTGAGAGAGATAGCGGATGAAGCCTGAGAGGAGAGATAAGTCTCTCAACCAAAGTTGAAAACAAAGAAATAAGGGTAAAAATAGGGACAAAGAGGTTCGATGACCCTTGTGGAGGAGATGTAAAATTTCTTCAGTGAGGGTAACGAAGTGTGTGGCCTTTATGTGACGAGTTGTGATAAAGAGAGAGGTTGCACAAGCAATGAGAAACCTGGTAGGTTGGATGTCACACGGCAAGACACATCAAATTCGGTGGTTGTCAGTGGAAAAGGTTGCAGTCAATGACGATTGACAATGATAAAACACAGTGGAATAATCCCTATATCTCAATGAGATGAACCATACTAGGTGTCCGTCATAAAAAAAGATGAGTAGAGACAGACAATAGTGGAGGATAATGGTGGATAGTTGTAGACGACAGTTACATAATCAAGATAAATTATTCTAACAAGCTTATTCAATGAATTTAGATATAGTTCCTTGATCTCTTTATGGCAAAGTATTATAAACAATTAACTTGTCCATGCCTATACTATACTTTCTAAAGTTCTACTTATGAAACATGTTATGAAACAATTCTTGTACTTCCTTTTAACCTTAATCTTTTGGGTTGAATTTCTTTATAAAATAGGATATAGTATTTTTTATATATATAATTTTTGTAAGTTTAAGTAAATGTAATTGATACAATGAAGTTGCAATCCCTTATAACTTGTTGGCTTGACGAATTACCAAACTTAATGGATCCATGTTTATTGATTTATTTTGTCTGTAACAGGGGGGAAAGAGGAGTGATGGGCGAACACCTGCTGAAATACGTCCAATCAACTCTAGATGTGGCCTATTACCTAGAGCACATGGAAGTGCTCTTTTTACAAGAGGCGAAACACAGGTCTTGGCCAACTTTATTTGTTTACAAGTTTATGCTCTGGATGATGTATGTTGGTGTCTATATTTGCTTATGCCATCTAATTATCTCTTTTAGTTTGTTTATTAGTTTTATCAGAAGGGGACATAGAATGAACAAATACAAAGGAGGAACAAAATTAATAAAATCAACTCTTTGTTCTTTTAACACAAGTGATTGGAACGATATATTGATTATTCAGGTTATTACATGACTTAGAAAGATGAAATTCTATAATTTTCTCAGCCCTACTGATGACAGAATAGTGTGTTATCTGTTGAGCCTTGTGTATCGCATAGAACACCTGATTTAGTAATACTTTATAAATTGCAACTCTTAATTGCTGCCCCAAAAAAAATACCCACCTTGGGAAGAGTTACTTTCTCCAAATTCTCTTCAAGAATGCTAGACACTTCAGTTGTGACTTTGTTGTTTTAAGAAGCTTCTACAGGTGTTTTTCACTCTGACTTTTCCCAAGATCAAAAGAGTATGTGATAGGACTTTGAGGGTTTATGAAAGGAGGAAAGGAATAAAAAAATAAGACATAGATGTTAGGGGGGTTAAGTGGGCCGTTAGGAGGTTGGTTGTCTGTTTCTGGTAGGGGTTAGCTTTATAAGGGAGAGGGAGTGTCTAGGGACAGACATGTTGTTTTGTTGTATCTTAGTTGACAGGAATATTGCATGCTGTGTAAAGGGAGAAGGCTCCCTTGGAAGCTTACGAATTGTGTTCTTTGTCACCAAGAATAATAATACAGACTATACAGTGTTTTTCTGTGTGAGAGAGTGTGTGCAAGGTGTCTTTCGGTGTGAGTTCTGGGTTTCTTGTTCCAAGAAACCTAACAGTGTGCTTCTGTCATTATGAATTTGGGTCTGGTCACTAGTCTTGGGAAGAGTATCTATACTTTTCTACTTTTGTACTTTACTTTTAGTTCCACTTTCAGTACTTGTAAGTGATACTGAATCTGCAGCTTAACCTGAGTGATTAATTTGCTTTATCTGGTTGGCAGTCACTGGCCGTTGTTACACTGGGGGATAAACAAATGGCACAAAGAATAGATGGACTTGATGGTGATGATGAATTAAAGAGGTTCTATTTACAGGTCTCTTTAAAATTTGGCTACTTTTATGTTCTCTTATATTTTTGTGGATATTACCTATTCTGAGAAATTTGAGCATATTTGAAAAACACTACTACACTGGATGGCTTGATTTGTTTATCAGTTTGGATTAAACCCAATTAACTCAAAAATCCAAATCGAATCAATTAAATGGGTTCATAATTTTAGCCTAATAAATGAATCAAATGAGATAGTTATAAATTCAGTTATCAGTCGTGATTTACAAAAATGATAAACACAAACGGAAGCAATGATGTGACTTTTTCTATTATTAATTAACTGCTATGCATGGAGCTCTATGATATAAATCTTATATAATTATATATTTTTATTTTTACTACTATTTAGTTTATGTAAGCAAATTACAATACATATATTGTTGACACACTTTAATGAGAGAATTATTAGTGAATATTTCAATAATATTGCCTTTTTTTCCAAAACATAATTTTGCACATTTGTAGATTATGGAACCTAATTGATGTGAATGGAATCAACTCATTCTTGATCAGGTTGCTTTGCTTTGAATTGTGATAAAAAATTTAAAAAGTTTGACGCTTTGAGCTGTTTCAAAAGGTTTGAAAAATTGTAAACTTGAATTGTGCTAAAAAAAGCTGAGAAATTCAAACTAGAGAAAACTGATTGGTTTAAATTTTATATTTTTCTATACCTAATTCAGATTGAGTCATGAACACCCTACTTGTGCCTGTTGGTTGTCTAGCATAGTGCATTATTAAAACTGTAAATGCCAAAAGGCAAGATAAACACTGAACTGCTATTTAGTAGGTCATAAAGGCCTACTGAAGACAGGAGGAATAAACTTTGATCTCCTTTAGTTAAGTAGACATGGTAGCAACTGCTACGCCATTTGGTTCTGCTGGGGTTATTGGAGTGGTTGTTTATTTTTCTTTTATGCCCACTGAAGAGTTGCTCTTGTTACCGGGAAACTCAACAGAATAGTAACAGCTTTTGGAAAATCAGNTTTCCATAAATTTATCTGTTTGTGATGATACCCTACTGCGTTGTAATATTTTCTCTGCTCTCTCTTTAATAATGTCTTTATTTACACCTTCACCCAAGAACTGGGACAAAAAGAGGATATTATTCATGTTATATCTTCCTTGTTTTGTGTATGCAGTATCCTACTCTGTGTCAATCTTTCTGGCTATTGACATTGTTCTTTATAATTTATTTTTGTGTATTTTAATTGTTTAATGTTTATACTTTGTTCCTTGATTCATGTAGAGATCATGCCTTTCCCTGTTGTATCCATGTTTTTCTGAATCCATTTGGTTTTACTATTTAACATATGTGTATTTCTTTTTCGGCTACAGTTTTCTGAGGTAGATGTCAAGTTGGTATTTAAGGAAGTGACATCCAAATTTTGGAGGAAGCGCATAGTAGAGGTATGAATACTTATAGTGAAATAATTAAGATTACTATGGAACATAATATTTTGTATGGTTTTTGCTGTCTTTGGGAGAGTTCTGTCAAATTGGCTGGGTGAAAGCAATACCAATAATGCAAGATTTTGACAAAATAGAATGGGTGAAAGATGGTTCTTGGTTGTTGGACTTTAAACCTTAAATATTCTTGATAGTCATTGGTATATCGTGGTTCAACTTTATTAGATTGAAAGAAACTTGTTGTCTTGTTAGGAAAACCATGTAAAGAGAACAGTTCTTTCGAGTGTGACCTTTTCTCCTACAAAAGGAGCATCGAGGAATCCATTTTTAGTAAAAGGAGGCATATTGAAAGAGGAATCTATCAACAATTAGAATTACAACAACTTAAAGGGTCTAGATCACAACACCCAAATCAGCAGGCCAACACGCCCAATATAGCAACAACACTAAGTAGAAAACCAATAACTATTTGCAACCAGCAACTTGTATCTCTATCATAATACAATGATTACCACTAGTTAGAAACAACAATACTCTTCATACCATAGTGGGTGCCAACTGTAAAAGACATAAAATAATATTGGAAGAAGAGTCTGAGAGAGATAGCGGATGAAGCCTGAGAGGAGAGATAAGTCTCTCAACCAAAGTTGAAAACAAAGAAATAAGGGTAAAAATAGGGACAAAGAGGTTCGATGACCCTTGTGGAGGAGATGTAAAATTTCTTCAGTGAGGGTAACGAAGTGTGTGGCCTTTATGTGACGAGTTGTGATAAAGAGAGAGGTTGCACAAGCAATGAGAAACCTGGTAGGTTGGATGTCACACGGCAAGACACATCAAATTCGGTGGTTGTCAGTGGAAAAGGTTGCAGTCAATGACGATTGACAATGATAAAACACAGTGGAATAATCCCTATATCTCAATGAGATGAACCATACTAGGTGTCCGTCATAAAAAAAGATGAGTAGAGACAGACAATAGTGGAGGATAATGGTGGATAGTTGTAGACGACAGTTACATAATCAAGATAAATTATTCTAACAAGCTTATTCAATGAATTTAGATATAGTTCCTTGATCTCTTTATGGCAAAGTATTATAAACAATTAACTTGTCCATGCCTATACTATACTTTCTAAAGTTCTACTTATGAAACATGTTATGAAACAATTCTTGTACTTCCTTTTAACCTTAATCTTTTGGGTTGAATTTCTTTATAAAATAGGATATAGTATTTTTTATATATATAATTTTTGTAAGTTTAAGTAAATGTAATTGATACAATGAAGTTGCAATCCCTTATAACTTGTTGGCTTGACGAATTACCAAACTTAATGGATCCATGTTTATTGATTTATTTTGTCTGTAACAGGGGGGAAAGAGGAGTGATGGGCGAACACCTGCTGAAATACGTCCAATCAACTCTAGATGTGGCCTATTACCTAGAGCACATGGAAGTGCTCTTTTTACAAGAGGCGAAACACAGGTCTTGGCCAACTTTATTTGTTTACAAGTTTATGCTCTGGATGATGTATGTTGGTGTCTATATTTGCTTATGCCATCTAATTATCTCTTTTAGTTTGTTTATTAGTTTTATCAGAAGGGGACATAGAATGAACAAATACAAAGGAGGAACAAAATTAATAAAATCAACTCTTTGTTCTTTTAACACAAGTGATTGGAACGATATATTGATTATTCAGGTTATTACATGACTTAGAAAGATGAAATTCTATAATTTTCTCAGCCCTACTGATGACAGAATAGTGTGTTATCTGTTGAGCCTTGTGTATCGCATAGAACACCTGATTTAGTAATACTTTATAAATTGCAACTCTTAATTGCTGCCCCAAAAAAAATACCCACCTTGGGAAGAGTTACTTTCTCCAAATTCTCTTCAAGAATGCTAGACACTTCAGTTGTGACTTTGTTGTTTTAAGAAGCTTCTACAGGTGTTTTTCACTCTGACTTTTCCCAAGATCAAAAGAGTATGTGATAGGACTTTGAGGGTTTATGAAAGGAGGAAAGGAATAAAAAAATAAGACATAGATGTTAGGGGGGTTAAGTGGGCCGTTAGGAGGTTGGTTGTCTGTTTCTGGTAGGGGTTAGCTTTATAAGGGAGAGGGAGTGTCTAGGGACAGACATGTTGTTTTGTTGTATCTTAGTTGACAGGAATATTGCATGCTGTGTAAAGGGAGAAGGCTCCCTTGGAAGCTTACGAATTGTGTTCTTTGTCACCAAGAATAATAATACAGACTATACAGTGTTTTTCTGTGTGAGAGAGTGTGTGCAAGGTGTCTTTCGGTGTGAGTTCTGGGTTTCTTGTTCCAAGAAACCTAACAGTGTGCTTCTGTCATTATGAATTTGGGTCTGGTCACTAGTCTTGGGAAGAGTATCTATACTTTTCTACTTTTGTACTTTACTTTTAGTTCCACTTTCAGTACTTGTAAGTGATACTGAATCTGCAGCTTAACCTGAGTGATTAATTTGCTTTATCTGGTTGGCAGTCACTGGCCGTTGTTACACTGGGGGATAAACAAATGGCACAAAGAATAGATGGACTTGATGGTGATGATGAATTAAAGAGGTTCTATTTACAGGTCTCTTTAAAATTTGGCTACTTTTATGTTCTCTTATATTTTTGTGGATATTACCTATTCTGAGAAATTTGAGCATATTTGAAAAACACTACTACACTGGATGGCTTGATTTGTTTATCAGTTTGGATTAAACCCAATTAACTCAAAAATCCAAATCGAATCAATTAAATGGGTTCATAATTTTAGCCTAATAAATGAATCAAATGAGATAGTTATAAATTCAGTTATCAGTCGTGATTTACAAAAATGATAAACACAAACGGAAGCAATGATGTGACTTTTTCTATTATTAATTAACTGCTATGCATGGAGCTCTATGATATAAATCTTATATAATTATATATTTTTATTTTTACTACTATTTAGTTTATGTAAGCAAATTACAATACATATATTGTTGACACACTTTAATGAGAGAATTATTAGTGAATATTTCAATAATATTGCCTTTTTTTCCAAAACATAATTTTGCACATTTGTAGATTATGGAACCTAATTGATGTGAATGGAATCAACTCATTCTTGATCAGGTTGCTTTGCTTTGAATTGTGATAAAAAATTTAAAAAGTTTGACGCTTTGAGCTGTTTCAAAAGGTTTGAAAAATTGTAAACTTGAATTGTGCTAAAAAAAGCTGAGAAATTCAAACTAGAGAAAACTGATTGGTTTAAATTTTATATTTTTCTATACCTAATTCAGATTGAGTCATGAACACCCTACTTGTGCCTGTTGGTTGTCTAGCATAGTGCATTATTAAAACTGTAAATGCCAAAAGGCAAGATAAACACTGAACTGCTATTTAGTAGGTCATAAAGGCCTACTGAAGACAGGAGGAATAAACTTTGATCTCCTTTAGTTAAGTAGACATGGTAGCAACTGCTACGCCATTTGGTTCTGCTGGGGTTATTGGAGTGGTTGTTTATTTTTCTTTTATGCCCACTGAAGAGTTGCTCTTGTTACCGGGAAACTCAACAGAATAGTAACAGCTTTTGGAAAATCAGGCAGTCATTAGAAAAGTCTAACAATATATAGAATCTTGTCAAACTTACTGAAGAACTTTTTGTGGAAACAGGAGGGCCCTTTAGATCAGGAGCTTTGATACCATGCTATTATATGAGAAAGGAAATTTTCTGAATGTGGTCGAGCGTTTTTCTCAGTAAGTAAATTGATTTATTTATAACAAGAATGATTACAGAGATAATAAAAAATATCTACTGATTTCAAGGAAACAACTAAAACATCGAAACTTCCCATTGAATATAGTAAAATTAGGTATATGATTAGTTTTTCTTGTGTCTAAAACACACATTATAATGAAGAATGATACAAGTATATATGGGAACCAAACATAAATATGATAAATAGAAAATATTTTTAAAAAACAATAGCAACAATATCTACCAATATCAAACAATATCAAAAGTCTACGTTTTCCTAATTAATATAAAACCTAATTAATATAAAACGCAATATATCTAATACTTCCAAAGTTACATTGACTTAAGCTTGATACTAACTAAACTACTTAGAAAGATAACATATATTAACTTCTCCTGTTGAAGATATGATACTTTATAAATAGGGAGATATGTGTAGCGAACATTCAAGATATGATTAGATACTCTAGGAAAATATGTAAAGCTAACAATCAAGGATTATATCTCTTATTATTCTTTATTTAGCTTTCTTAGTTTTTATTCTTGATCATTTTAAAAGAATCTTGTGTTTTCTGACACAAATAGCAAATCTTATATGTCCTGTTGATCTGCCGGAGAATATAGTAGAATGTTAATACCTGTTACTTTTGTTTAGCTCTATCTTGTTAGCTGTCTGTTATTCTTTTTGTTAGGCTGTTATAACTTTCGTCACCATGACGTTGTAAATGACCCTGATGAAGCTATAACTTTCTGTTAGGCTGTTAACATATGTAACAACCTTGGCATCTTCATAATCTTTCTATTCACAGTCATGCAATCATACACTTTCATTTTCGCTCTGTTTCTCAGTATATTCAATATGGTATCAAGAGTGTCAGATTTTATTGTCGTCTATCTAATAAACTTCCTGCTGCTCCTCTCAACTTTAAGGTTTATGTTGTTCTTGTTTCAAACCGCACTCAAGTATGACTTTCTCAAATATTTTGGATGTGCCTGTTTTCCTTTTCTCAAATCAAACAAGCTAAAGTTTGGGTTCCAAGAGTGTGTTTTTCTCGGGTATTCTTCCCATGCAAACTAGATGTAAATATGACATATCCAACCTTGTCTACACTCTACACTTCTTGCTCATGTGGGGCCTTTGTGTACTAAAAAGAATTTGAGATCTATATGTTTTATATTTTTTCCCTTAATATCGTATGATAATTATTGTCTACTTCTTAAATTTTGCAGTATTCATTTCCTCCTTCAAGTGTTGGGGAAGTTGGCCGGATTGGTGCCCCAAGCAGAAGAGAAATTGGTCATGGGATGCTTGCCGAGAGATCCCTTGAACGAATTTTACCTTCTGAAAATGATTTCCCTTACACTATACGTGTTGAGAGTACTATCACAGAAAGTAATGGCTCTTCAAGGTGAGTTTCTTTTTTTCTTCTTTCCATTTTCAGCTCCCCATTTTCTTTATTTCTTTGTCATTTTCCATGATTATTCTAAAATAGTGAAGATTGAATGAAAATGCTTGTCGGGCTACACATGTTCTGGTACTTATAGTTTAATTTCCAATTAGAGTAATTACAAGACTTTGGTCTGTTTGGACAAGCTTCTTCATGAGTCCTTCTAGGAGAGAAAAATAGGAAGGGAAAAATGAGTTGAGTTCTCCATAAGCTAAAATTAGATCATGCCTAAGTTAAAAATAAAAAAATTAGAGAAGCTATACGAGAGAGCTTCTACAAGTTAGCTTTTATGGAGAAGCTAAGTTCATTTTTCTTATTTTCTTTCTAGTCAAGGATCTTATGGAGAAACTTGTCCAAACTGACTCTAATTAGTGCTAATCAAAAACTAATATCTAGCCTAATAAAGTTGTTAGATATATTGCGTTTTATGTTAATTAAGAAATATAGTCCTTATGCTAATTATGTTATTTTTTCTGTTTTTTTTTATTCTTTCTGCAGCCCACATACTCATTCATATCTATTTTTACAGATTGTTTTCTTGTCTTTTCGATCCCCTCATGATCCTCGAGTTTAACACTAGTGCTTAAGAGTTTCTCCTAGCTTAGATTATACATAGCTTATGAGATTAGGTCATCCTCATAGTTATGTCATGAAAATTGTACTACAATGCGATGTAAGATCCTATTTTCTAATAAGAAAAACAATACATTTTGTTCAACCTGTTGGATGGGCAAAGTCCATTCTCAAACTTGAAGATGTCTTTTTCATGTTCTATGTTCTGAAACTTTTCAATAGCCTTCTTCTCTTTTTACAAACTTGTGCATGATCTAAACTGTTATGTAATATTCCCCTCACTGTGTCCTTTTGGATTTCTAGTCAATGAGATCTTTAGCAGAATTTTGCTCTGCGATACTCTCCAGACATGTTTGCTGTGCCAATGCTGTTGTCCACTCTAAGAATTTTTGCTCCCTAGCAGCTTTCTGCTCTCTGGGCATTTGTTTGCTCTCCTGATGCACTCTTTGAGCATTTTTTGCTCTGAAGTAGTTGACATGCCCTCTGGAAAACATTTTCTCTCCAACAGCTGCTGCCTCATCTAACTTTTAATGCAACACTGTGAGCTGTACCTTCTCTGGCAGCCACTATGCCTGCCTGATTCAATCAATTGCCATCATGTGCCACCGGCTCCTTAACATTTCATATTAATATACCTACCCACACCAAATCGATGTGTGAAGCTTTATTAGCTCCAACAACCAACTAGTTGACATATTCACCAAGTTTCTTAAGGGGGTCTGATGACATTTGTAACAAGCTTGACTCATGGTAGATGAGTTAGCTTGAGGGAGAGTGTTAAAAATATGATTTGATTCTATTAAACAGGGAAATATCTTAGGAAATATTTATTATACTTGAAAAAGTTAATATGAACGAAAGAAGATTTTTAGTCAAATTAATTCATTTGAAACGGTACATCAGTCTCTCTATATAGAAAACCTTAACTCTAAAGTAATAATTACAAATTTTATCATGTTCTAACAGCAGCCTCCTTATCTAGTTATGCATTTAATATCCTACTAACAACAATATCTCTAGAGTTTTCTAGAATCTTCTAACAACTGCTATTAGCTTCTAGTTCTACCAATTTCTAGTTTTGCATTTAATATCCTACTTACAACAATTATTAATCATTGATATTGTTCCTTATTACTCTATCTCTTCTTAGATATAAATAAGAGTACACATGTGTACACAACATACAATTACAAGTAATCCTATTAATAGGCACTGCTTTATATTTTTTCAAAATATACTACTGTTATTTTCTCTTACATAGCTTTTAAAGTTTCTATGTTTAATATCGAATTTTTTATTTTATTATAGCATGGCTTCTGTTTGTGGAGGTTGCTTAGCATTGCAAGATGCTGGGGTTCCTATCAAGTGTTCTATTGCTGGAATTGCAATGGGTTTGGTATTGGACACCAAGGAATTTGGTGGAGATGGAACTCCGCTTATTCTGTCTGACATAGTTGGATCTGAAGATGCATCTGGAGATATGGATTTCAAGGTTATGATTTACATCATTGAACTTGTGATACTTATTTTTTCACGTGATTATTTCAATGGTACTTGGGGAGTTGGGTTTGTTCAATTTTTTTTCTGTCTATTTCAATTTTTGTATAACTCCACAGAGATAATTTTAACAATGTTAGGACAGAAAATATAGCATGATAGGCTGAAACCATATATCCAGGCTACGTGGCATTGGTTGATTGCATTAAATAAAAATAATTATTGGAGATTTTATTCCTATACACAGACATGATATACCTATAAATAAGATTTTAATAAGGATGATTCTAATAAAACAAGCCTACAATTCCAACGTTCCTAATTAAATAAGAAAACAAATCGGACAGGGAAGATGTGCCAGGAAGTGGGTGGCTGACGATGATGGTGGCTGTTTGGTGGTGTGGATGACAGACAGAAGGGTCAATCGGACAGGGAACATTTGGCAATATGATTAGACAAAGATGACTAGTTGGAGTTTCAATTTCTATTTTTTTGGGAACTCAGACAAAGAAATAGTGACAAAATGGGTCAAAGAGTATGTTACCATGTTGAAAGAGACGTGTAAGACAAGCTAAAATTGTGCGTCTAGAGAAAAGAATAGAGTCCACTTTATATAGGATGTTTACAATTACTGCAAATAATTTGGAGATTTTATTCCTACATATATAATATGAAATACCTATATATATATATATATATATATATATATATATATATATATATACACACACCTATATATCAAACTCTTAACAAATTTGATTCTAATCAATAAGCCTATAATTACAAAGATCCTAATTGAATAAGAAAACAATTCATAAAATATAAAAGAAGAATAATTCTCATGAAATCATCTATAGGATGCTTTAAAATATTTTGAATATAAAAATAATATGATTAGATATTTCTCTTATTTTCTAACAACAATGATAAAATGCAGGTTGCTGGAAATGAAGATGGCATAACAGCATTTCAAATGGACATTAAGGTAAGTACTATGAACATTTTAATGCAATATCTTGATATGCTTACTTCCTCTTATCTCGTTTGTTTATATTTTGAAAGGCTACTTTTTTAAAGGGAGAACATTTATTATGTATTTACTCATTATTTTTATTCATTTCTTGTCCTAAATAAGTTATTTTCTTTGTGTCTACATTTTTTATGCTAGTGTTTTCTAATTGTTGCAGGTGGGTGGAATCACTTTACCCATAATGAGAAAGGCCCTCCAACAAGCAAGAGATGGCAGGAAGCATATACTTGGTAAAGTTAAAACTCAAGTTTTACTATATATGTTGCAGTTAATGAATTTGTGTTTGTGTCCGATCTGATTGTATTATATCAGAAGTAGAAGTGTGTTTGTTTCTTGAACTTAGGCATAAAACAGAAAACAATGTTTTATTTCCAACACTCTATCGTGGCAAATGTTGAGTGGATGCTAATCTCAAAATCAGAGAATTAACATGTACTTTCACCAACAATATATCAAAAGTTGTTTTAATTAAATAACTTACTGTAGTTAATTACACACATACATACATAAAATATTTTACAGCCTTCATGTATTACATCACGTATATGTTATTTGAGTAGTTTTAATCAGTATTTTTTATATATTTTTCATTTTTCTAAAAGAAAAGTACTTTTAGAATATTTTAAAAAATAATTTCACTTTAGTTTACTACAAAAAGTATTAATAAATGAAACACAATAGTGCAAATTATTTTTGCGAGAAAATTGTGTTAATATACAAATAAATAAATAGTTATAGGGTGTTCTAACCATAAGGTGGAGCAGTGTTGGGCGAGTTGCAAAAGGAGCAAAGTCTCCTCATTGAGCATTGGATTCCTTAAGGATGAACTCTCATATAGATGATATCTGAGTACTAAATGAAAGTGCATTTGCGAAGATTCTTCAACGTTTAAAGTAAGAGGTTTAAAATAATAGTAATATAAAAGTAAAGAGAATTAGGTAGGTACTCTCTGGTAGTGCGTATATGTATAGGCTTTTGGACTTTCTTGAGTGAAACTCAGTAACAGAAAAGAAAAATATATTCAGTTATTACTCTTTTTGCTTCTAAAATGATAAATACTTTACTATCGGATTTTGGTTCTAAGTCTACTACTCAATCGATCAAGTTGTTGAATATTGGAATACTGGATTAAGTTCAAGTTTATCAAACTAGGAATATACTATAGATCCGAGTATTTTGGAGGTGAGTAGGTACATAAGGTATTTTTGGACAACTTATCTAAAACACTTTTAGGAGTGAAAAAGTAAAAACAAATAAGTTTTTCTATAAGCTTAAATTGATTTGTGCACAAGTTAAAAATAAGAATTTAGAAGTTATATGAGAATACTTCTGCTAATTAACTTGTTATGCATAAGCTAATTTCAGATTTTGGGGAAAGTCATTTCATTTTTTCTTATTGCCTTGATTTAAACACGAGAGAGGAAATGTCTAACTGAAAACTAAATGGAGGTTGAGAGTCATTTGAGCAAGAGTTCAGGAGAAGAGAATGTAATTTTTTGGTACTCAGCAAAATAGCCTATAAACAGACTTCTGTGTACTCAGCAATTTGTCAGATCAATAAAATGTTAAAACTCTCGAGTATAAAATGGGTGAATACAGAATAATTTTTTTTTTTATATTTTTCCAGTTTAAAATTGATTTTCTTTGATTATTGTTGACATCTTAAATATCTTTCTCCCTTTTGTTTCCTAATGTAGAAGCAATGACGAGTTGCTCACCTCCTCCGGCAAATAGGCTTTCCAAATATGCTCCTCTGATACACATTATGAAGGTATGTTTCTTGCTTTCCTTTTTCTCCTTCATTGGCTATCACTTAATCATCAATGGGTTATCACGTGTATATTTTTTATAGGTAAAACCGGATAGAGTAAATCTTATAATTGGTTCTGGTGGGAAAAAAATCAAGAGCATTATTGAGGAATCTGGAGTAGAAGCTATTGATGCAGACGATAATGGCACTGTACGAGAACAATGACACACTTTTACATGATTGTTTTGTTACAGTTAACTATTCTATTGGTATGCGATGAAATGAATAAGTCTTCTTGGGCTTTTGCAGGTGAAAATATTTGCGAAAGATTTGCCTAGTTTAGAGAGGTCTAAAGCTATTATTAGTAGTTTGGCGATGGTTCCAACTATCGGTGATATATATAGGTAGCTATCACTTCTTTTGCTGATTATATTTGTTTCCTCATTTTTTTCTCACAAATTTCTTCTATATTATGATTCTCCCAACCAGTCCGCGGATAATCCTCAATTTTTTTTTTTGTTCCCATTTACTCTCTTGGTTAGGGTTCTATTGTTTTGTTTGCTAAGTGCCTGCGTGACCAAACAGAAAATGTGTGATATTTAGAGAGGCTAGAAAATAAGCAAAAAATAATACTTAACGGACAAAACTAACGACAGACTAACCAAGGTAGTATACGGGAAATGAAAAAGCAAATTTGTGAGGACTAAATTACAACCTCTTAAAACTGAGGGATCGAATGAAAAATCATAATGTTAAAGGTTTCAAAGAATAATCCTTTTTTACGTTAATTATTTTCTAATTTGTTGATAAATTGTATGTATAATTGTGCTGCCTTCTATACTTCAGGAACTGTGAAATCAAATCGATAGCTTCATATGGAGTTTTTGTAGAGATAGCACCTGGCCGAGAGGTACATAATTCCACTTAGTTGTTGCCAAAAACATAAACATATATAATTAGAAGCAGATACCATTAATTGCTTCTTACACAATTCGATTTTGGGTTTTCTAGTGAAGTTGTATCATTGTGTGTTGTTTCTTAAATCTTAAAAATGTTTTAGAGTGATACTTCATGTTATCATATTAATAATTATCAAACGATCAGAAAGCATTTCCTTTTTATGTTTGCAATTCTCTTGGTGACTGGAAATGTCAAATTCTAGAACCACTATTGGGACACAATGCAAGTTTAAACTAGAAAAGTATATGCATTAATCAGGATGCTAATAATGGAAAGAAAAATCAAATTATGTACTAAAAAATGGAACAAATCTGTACTCCTATAATTCGAAGGGTTGAGTGTATTAAAAATAAACCCCCTGACCATAGCTATTATATATTGTTGTAAATATGGAACTACAAATTAGAGTGTCAAACCAGATAAGATACAATGAAAAAGTGATAATAATTAAATAAGAAAACAAATCATGAATTATAAAATAAAATACCAAATCCTAAGAGATCAGCTAAGTACTCTAAAATATTTTATAAAATAATATCATCAGAAACTTTTCATATTTCTAACCATGTCCAACTTTTTTTTATGTAGGGACTTTGTCATATCAGTGAACTGAGTTCAGGTTGGCTACCAAAGGCAGAGGATGTAAGCATTTTCTTTTGATTCTATTTTCCAAACTTAACAGCATAAGCAAATAATGCGGGGATAATATTTGACTTGCACTCGTGCAGGTGTTCAAGGTGGGAGATCGCATTGATGTAAAGCTTATAGAGGTATGTCATGTTGCTCATTGTTAGTTATGAATGATGCTCGAATTTGCCAATTGCTCAATATGCAATGTTGTAGTAACTCATTTTCTTTCTTAATGGTGATTGAACTAAGCCAAGCTATGCCTTCATTTGGTGTTTGTCGTATTTACTGTGTTACTTTAGAGTTACATACATGTTCTCATTTGAGGGTGTTTGTAATATTCTATTGACAATTTCCTACATGATTTGTGCTTTATTTGCTTTGAGAAACGTTAGGTAATCATAACATTGTCTTCATGTAATTGTGGTGCAACTAAATAATTAGGGACTTGAAATGATAGTATTGAAATTTCTGAATATTATTGATGACAATTCAACTATTCAAGGTTTTACAATGTATAAAAGTCTACATGACGGCTTTACTGAAATATACCAATTAATAGGAAACTTGAATTTATCCTAATTAAAATATTTACAAGATTTAATTATAAACGAAGTCTGTTACAATAGGTTATGTAAAGTACAATTTGACTGTAATTTGTATGAATTTTCTTACCTCATTCTTTTTGCTCTGATCTCTCATTTGCTCGTTCTGCCTCCATGACTAAAAAGCAAAGGGAGGAACTGCAAGGGAAAAGTTGTTGTTTTAATTGAACTTAGAGCAGTGATTAATTTCACTATATTTAATGTTATTCGCTTTATATGAATGAACAGATCTTGAGTTTCTGTTCCTTAAATTCCAGCAATCATGCTTAGCTTTTAACTTACCCATTAGAAATGAACTGAACCTAATTCATCCCAGCATCCGGCTCCAAGGGAGAGCATTTTCTGAGTCAAATAGTGTTTGTTCCATATTCGTAGCCGATACAAGACATCTTATACATCTCCTTTCCAATTCTCTGAAGTGAAAGTGAAGCTGAGCTAAACAGTACTCGATAGATTCAGTTAGTTCTTTGCCTTAATCATATCTATGCCTTTGTGGATGGCAGTTTCAGTTTGAGTAAGAAAATTAAGGAAAGCTTAAAAACTATCAGACAGTGTTTAGTGATTTCTGTAATCCATTTTACTGTTATGAACTCTAATCAGTGAATACAGTTCTTATATTTATGCATTTGGCTAAGAATCATAACCAGCATTATTGGCCAGTCTGTTGTAAAAGACAATTCTGTGAATTGTTGATCTGTTGTAATGGATTCTGATAATCTGCTTAACTACGGCACAGTTATCTATTTGTAAGCTATTACACATGAGAGACATTATTACTAACTGAAACTTCTTTAATTTTTATTTTTTCTATATTCTTCTTTTCAGATTAGATTTTTTTCTTGTTATTGTTATGAAATTAGTAAAATTGGTCAAGTCAACCACCTTTTCATTAGTTCCAGTCCCATTTTATGAAAGTATGAACTATGTCATTTTATGAAATATGAACTATGTCAAGTTTTACTATATCTTGTTAAAAAATCAAGATAGAATATCGTTTCCTTTAATTTAGAGATTTCTTGCCGATAAACTACTGCACAGTACATCTAGAATATTCTATCCTAGATAGTCTTTACTACATCTTGTTGAAAAATCAAGATAGAATATCGTTTCCTTTAATTTAGAGATTTCTTGCCGATAAACTACTTCACAGTACATCTAGAATATTTTATCCTGATTTTCAAATATCTGACAAATTTGATTTAATCTTACTATATTGTGAGATTGGAATTTTGTCTTATTATTTTAAGCATGCACTGCAGATCAATGAAAAGGGCCAACTGCGCCTGAGTCACCGAGCACTGCTTCCTGATACAAATCAAGATAACTCAAATGTTAAACAGTCTACTGGTGAACTACCTGACGGCACAGAAACTTCATCAAAATCATCCGAAAAGTCTAAGGACAACTCTAGCACTGCCAAAATCACATCCTCTTCTAAAAGGAGTTCAGAGGATGATGATTCAGTACTTCCATCTAAAAAGTTTGTCAGGAGATTGGTCAACTCTTCCCAGGATAACAAAGAGAAAACAAAGAAGAGTAGCAACAAAGCAGTTGGTAGTGTGTCTGTCAAAGATGAAAGCAGTTTGATTAGTGGAGAGGCGTAAAACTGAGCCAATATATTTTCAAGTAAAGCAGAGACAAGTGATGCTTTCTTGGAAAAAAAATGGTTTCATATGCACACGAAGGCTGATATTGCAAGCTCTTAAAAACTAACAGTTGAATGGTATGAGCAACTTATATCAATTCTCTGTATATTTTGTTGCATTGATATACCTATCTACAAATGCCCCAACTGTCAAATTTTTCCTAAAGGAACTTCTATATTGGTAACACTATAAATGATAAATAAGAGAAAATTGCCTGTACTCAAACTGTTCAACCCTGTTAAGTGACTACCAATTCAGTGGCCACACTATTTAGAGGGCAAGCCTTGGCACAATGTGAAGGTTGCTCTGACTTTTGAATGGGAGGTCACAGGTTCAAATCATATAGAAACAGTTGTCCACTTATGGTATAAGGCTTTACATCTATCCTTTCTATTCCTCACTGGCCACGAACTTCATGGACTTTATTGCTCTTTCTTAAAACTGAGGTTATTTACAAAGATATTTCTACACCTTGATCGAAGTTGAACTCTATTTATATCTAAACTAATCAACCACTAATTATTTTGATTGCAAGCATCTCATCCAAAGTTGTTTTTTAAGAACTAAACATGATTCAGGTTTAGGTGGCATGCTTTCTATTCCTGAGTTAATTAACTTGCCCATTGATGATCCTTATCTTATTGGCAGTGAACTTTTTTGGAACAAGCTGGTGCCTAAACTAGGAAATTATATGACTTGCTTCATTCTAAGGCAGATAATCCTGCTTAAGCTGGGAAGGTGAAAAGGAGTACTCTGTGTGGTCTGTACATCTCACAAATACACCATGGCAATTTTTGTGTGTTTTATCCCCCGATGACACCTCTATCTATATAACCTGTTATGTAGTTTTCTTTTTTTTCAATTATTTTCTGTGATGACTCCCTCTTGTGAGCTCCTATTTTGCAGGTATCAAATGTAAATCTTAGTTCATCATTGCAAGGGAGAGGGGTGAATCTTTACACTGCATTGTATTTATTGTATTCTTTTACGTTAACAATTAAAATTATGATATTTTCGATACTCCAAATTGTTCGGTGGCTATTGGACTCTAATACTATTCTTACTGTGGAAAAAAAAACGGGGGGGAAGAACGTTGAAAAAAACATGGAATGAACTGATAACTTCATAATTTGTTGAAAATTAAGAGTAAAAAATGTGTAGCTAAAAATGTACATCAAATGGGATATCCGTTTATAATCGCTATAGAAGATATCAGATATTTAATATTTTGCAAGATTTGTATACGAAATTGAAACGTGAATGATGACTACGAATTATTCTGATGCAGCTGTAGTCCTTTCTATCCATCACCAAGCTTACTATAATCCCTATAGAAGATGATTACACGCATTGGGTTTTTACCTGCATTTCGTGACTTGGGTTTTAGTTATTAACTTCACGAATTGTAACCAACGATTATACAATTTTATAGCAGTATCTTACCAAAGTAAAGGGTGAATCATGAATTTGCAATTTGTGCTGTTTGATAGACACAATTTTCCCCAACTTCCTTGTCAAAATTCATTTCTGTGATCATCAATCTTTCTTTTTGTATCGAAGGCAACCATTAACAACACCCCAAAGTAACTTTTTTCAGTAAAGCAATTTCTAATCTCTTAAAATCAATCATTGAACATCTCGACCTTCATGCTCTCATTAAAACCCTCATTCAATTTCACCATTAAACCAACACCCAACACAATCCAAAATTGCCCTCAGCGCAATTTCAATCATCAAATTAACCATAAACTACGTAAACATATGAATAAAAAATTGTAGTATGAAGCTTTTGGGAAAGAATAGGAAGGTTTAGCTATAAGTAGCAACTAATGGATCCACATTCAATTCATATATTGTAATAAGTTCTCAAGTCTCGATTCAATTATTCAGAGTCTTTTTTTTTTCCTAAATATTCTATCTGATTTGTATTCATCTGTTCATGCTTAATTCTTAGAATTAAAAATTTGGTAATTACTTTCTGCACCTTATAATTTTTCTTCCAGCACCCAATCAACATGAAATACCAAAACTAACCTTCTTTACATTTTTTTATTATTTTAACCCTAATTTTTCACTGTTACATCTTCCTCTTGCGTCTTTTTCTAAGCCTTCGATGCGAGTTGCGATTTTTTTCACTGTAGAAGAGGCCAGCGACCGGCATGCATCCGGATTTGTCTATCGGAGAAGAGGATAGTGGTAGAGTTGTGGTGGTGTACGGTGGTTTTCTTCACCGGAAAAGTATGTTCTCTTTTCCGAAAAAGATAGTCCGCAAAGCCTCCAGAAAAAGCTTTCCAGAATATTTTCCGGAATCAACTTTCCGTAAACAACAAATATGGGTTGCAATCACTGATGCAGCTCGTCATTGTTTGTCCAATCAATTTTAGCCCACCAGTCTTGCTCTCCTTTAATGGACTGTAAGTTGGTTACACGGTCAAGAAGTGTTATTTGAGCCCCTCGCTCATGGGTTGACCCTGACCCCTTCTAAAATCAAGCTTCAATTTTCTAGTTCACTTAATAGGGGGTTTTTTAAAAGCTCCAACCCCTAAAGCCCCACATAAAGTGGGCTGGGGTAAGGTTAGGATGGGACTAGCCCCCAAACTAAATTAATTCACATGTTTTCTTAGTTATTTCTTTTATTTACTTTACAAGTTCAATAATTTTCAAAATTTACATGATATTTAATATCTTTTTAATTAAATATAAATGTATAAATATTGATTTTATAAAAACTTATTTAAAATAATCTTTTAATTATAAGTATATTTTAAATATATAATTTTATTATTTTGGAAAGTTAAAAAAGAAAATTTTTATTATTATTTTTATTTAAAAGAAAATGAAAAAAATTTCAAAAAAGAAATTATAAAAGTAACACAGTTGAAAATTCGATTTTTCAATAATCGATCTATATAAATATTTGAAATATTAATTATGGATAGATTTTAAATTCAAATCTACTAATTGGATTATTTTTTATAGTTTGTCATATAAAATTCTTTTGTTGAATGTTTTGTATAGATATATATATACATTAAAAAATTAAACTACAAACTTTGTAAAGTTTAAAATTAATTTCACGTAATAAAAGAACTAACTTTTGAGTGAAAATCCTTGTTAGACAAAATTCTTATAAGTATCATATATGTTAGTATACAAGATCTACATGTAATCCTAGTGGTTATAAAATCAGATTTTTTTTCTAACCTTTTAGATTAAATTAATATTTTAAAATCATACTTATCTTTATCCAACAAAGATCGTTTTTATTGAATTATTTATCATAATTGAGCCGATTGTAATAAAAAATAATTAAATAATAGATACAATATTTTTAAATAAATATAATGTTATAATTTATAATACTAAAATTAAAATTATTATTTTATTTAATTATTAACATATAAAATAAATAAAAATTATAATAATTATAATAATAAATAAATTACATCAATGTCTCTTAATAAGAAACTAATAAAAAAGACAAATGAATATAATATAAAATATATGAAAAAGACATAAAAATATATAAATTGATGTAAATGACTAAATTATACGTTTCATAATTTTTTTTTTAAAATAATTATATAACTTTGTAAATAATAAATATTAATTTTATAAAATTTGGAAAATTAAAAAAGTTAAAAAGTTATTAAGTCAAAATTTTAGCATGTTCACACCAATTAAAAATAATATTTTTAAACTAGTGACAAAATAGATTATCATCTATAAATAAATTCGTTAGTCCATCAAAATTTTACAAATTAAATTAAATTTTTTAACTTTTAAACCTATTTTATGTGGATATCTCTTAACCGTCAAATTTACAAACCAAAATTAAGGAACCAAAATTAAGATGAAAAAATTATCAAAACAAAATTTGGAAATTAAGGAATAATTGTATAAAAGCATTATTATTAAACTAATTAATATAGAAACAGTTATGAAGTAGGAAATTAATTTTATTGGTAAAAAAATATAATTACACACGAATCAATTATGGTTATAAGTTATTACTAACAAAGATAAAATAAAAGCTGGATAAAAAATACACATGATTTGTGATTACTTGTATGATGATATTATGTTTCTAAACGTTAAATTTTGTAAAAAGGAAAACCCATGGGCTGGCCCTGGCCTATAGGGCTTTAGGGGTTTTTAGTCCTGTGTACTTTTTTAATAAAGAGTTTTTTTGGCCCTGTGAACTTTTTTGGCCCCAACCCACATGGGCTAGGGCCAAATCTTATTAAAGGGGCTAATTTGACAGCTCTAGTCAAGTGGTAAAGTTTTAAACTGAGGATTTGAAATGGGAAGAAGAAAACATCTTTCACGAAAGGAAACACGGTTTTATGTTATCCTAACGACTTTTTTTGTCTTCCTTTCTCTCTCCCTTTTGATTTTTTTTTTCTACATAATTAAACACTTACAATATATATTTACATAAAAACTCTCAACCATCGTAATTTTATTTTCTCTTAGAATAACCCAACAAAACATACATAAAACATTCATGAAAACTCATCACAAATATTACATAAACCTTATGTCCATTCATGCACAAACTTTTAACCAATAATAACCACAAATAATTATAATCATATACACATGTATCAAAACAAGGATTACCAATTAAGATAATCAATATAACATACAACATTTATACTTTGGCCAATCATAAGGCTTTATCTACAACCCTAAAACACCACCAATCTTCCTCTACACTAAGAGTTTCCCTCTCTCCTTCTTTCAAAATGTCAATCTCCTCTCTTCTTTTGTTTTCTCTCTTTGATTTAGAGTTTTTAGGATTTCTAAACACCAAACCACCCCTTAATTAATTTCTATACCAATTAAATAAAGGTAAAAAACTTTTTTTCCCTGAGCAAAAATAAAAAAATAAAACAATATCATAACAATTATGTTCTAACAAAAATATACACTAAAGAACACTAATCTTCAAACAAAAACTCAAAGTTTCAAAACTATTTTATTTTTAAAACCCTTATTTTTCGTATCTTACACCCTAAATAATACATTATATTTTATTATTATTATTATTATTATTATTATTATTATCTTACAATAATAGCTAATTATATATAATAATGTTTAAGATATTTTTTAATTTATATATCTCAAGATATCTTTTAATTTGTAAATGTATCTAGTATATAACAATATCCAAGAATATCTTTTAAGATATCTAATAACAATATATGATTT